CATTCCCTTCTGCTCAGTACTTTTTCTAACCTTCTTCTAAAGAGGACTTCTTCCAATGTCGTCCAGACCTCTCTTTTCTCTCCCCCTGTAGCTGCCTTTCTGTTTTGGTATCTACCTGACGGATACCGACTTTACTGCTATTGGAGATTGGTCGCTCAAGTGGAATTAAGCCCTGCAAGTGTACCATTTTCTCTCTGCTGGGGTACTTCAGGCCTTCCATTCTTTATAAATATGTGAATGTGCTTTGGGTTTGTGGTTGTGTGAGTGTGTGTGTCAATACCTCCAGGCTGGTTCAGTCAAACCCTGGACTGGAATTCAAGTCAACCACATTGGGGGGATTTCCACGTGCCTCTCAGTCGTCTTGTTTGGAACATAAAATTGTGCGTCATCCCGCGGCTGCATCCGCCAGTGCGCCTCACTTCCTCGTGGCTAAAGGGCAAAAACTGTTCAGCTGGCAGTGAAGTAATGCTTGACTCACACTTCAGGTAAAGGCTTAATCAATTTATATCATTATGTAGTCTGGCTTTGAAGTTAACGCCTGGACTTCAGTGCCACCCAGTGGTAACAACAAAGATGAATGGGTGATTAAATTAAGGAAGAAAATGAAGATTGTTGGGAAAAAGGGTGAAGCATTGTGTGAACTTTCTTTTTGAAAACCAGGTGTCAGCTGGTTTCTTGTTAAAGGAAACTGAAAGGATCCAAATCTCTCAAAACATACTGGACAGTTTAGAAACTCTTCTCTAAAAAATGAATAATGTTGGAATTCTGGGACTTGGGAGCATCACGAAACATCAAAGTAAGGAGTTTTCACTTACCTTACAACAGACAGGACAATTTTGGAAAGAAAATCTTCCCAAATTCCTTCTTAATTGTTGCTCTATGCTGAATCCACACATCGATTTGTAAACTTTCAAACAACAAGAATTCAAAGAGCTGACAAACAGCCAAGAACCAGCCATGTGGTCAACTCCGGCAACCAACACATACTTTTCACATTACAAACGAATAGTAAATTTAACTTTACAGTCCCGGCAGTAAAGGAGAACCTAACCAGCTTGCCATCCAACCATGACTTCAGTCTGGCTTCTGGTACTTGTGGCTTTTTCAGCGAACAGATTAACATGACAGCAAAAAAAAAAAAGCAACTTAGTGATCAGATCATTTCCCAGGATTGTAAGTTAATATTGGAAGGAATAAGAAAAGACTCCTCATCTGACATTAATGAATACCATAGTGACACACACAGTCCAAAAAAGACAAACTCATAAAACAATAAAAACACATATTTACACTTCAGCTGTACCGTATTCAATATGAGTCCAACATTCATGCTCTAAGATAAAAAATAATTATTGATCACGTGCCTTAGCGATAGAAAACGAACATGGTCTTTCTTGATCGGCATCGTTGACATATAAAAAACAGTGATGACAAAACAAACAGTGTAGAAAGAAACAAGCTAGAATCAATTTTATTTATTTAGGTAAATGTTACAGGTAGGTAAAAAAAAAAAAAAAAAAAACAAGGATGGATATGTTGATCTCAATAAACCATGAATGAATATGCACCATCGGCAAACATGAGCGAACGAATCAGTAAGGTTTGACAAAATGGACAAAATTCACTTTCTTTAACAGACTGGATGGTCTTATTGTGGATACAGTACGTCGTAGTTCTTGTTAGTTCAAATTGAAGATGCCTGCTGATTGACAGTGGATGTTTCATGTCACAGTCACAAGGCAACACAATAAAACACACAGGGGATCACAGCATTGATAAAGTAGATAACAATATCAATAAATCTCAGGACTACTTTGGTCTGATACGAGGGCTGGTTACCACAACTTTATAATCCAGAAAATGACCACTGTGTAATACTTTTCTAAATTCAGTGTTGTACCAAGCTAAGGAGCACTGCACAGAGATCATGTGCCAAAGCCTATCATCTAATTACAAAAAAATAAGAAGCGGTTCGACTACGTACTGCTGGCTGCAAACTAAAACTGTCGATAAAAATAAATGTCACATGCAGCACACATCAACAACAGTCTCTCTTTTTCATGGGACATGTACTGGATTCATACCTCCTCAGTACAGAACCAGAGTATGACAAACTTAGGATGACAAACAGCAGGGCTAAAATATTAGGTTAACAAAAAATTGGACAATATTTCAAACATATATATAAAAAAAGGGGGGTTTCTATTCACAACAGCTTTAGACCAAACAAGAACATTTCAAGTGAAAACAAATCAAAGCTGCAAAACCAGCGAGTAAAAAGGGAAGATTAAGCATCAACTTAATTGTTCAGCTGCCGCACTTGTAAATAACAGCAAGATATTTATTTACAGAAAGAAACTTTCATTAAGTCTTGATATGACAGAAGTATTAAAAATCACTGACAAAGGATTCTGCCATGAACTCATGCAAAGCAAAAAAAACAAAAAGCTAAGGGACGGGAACCTGCTGCTAATGAAACCTCACTACAAGAGGACATGTAATAATTAGACTTAGAAAAACAGAGAGGGCAACTTTAACTTTAACTGAGTTAGTTGAAGCAGCAAAGTTTTGTGGTTTTAGTAAAGGTATTGTCATGTTGCTCTAATGTAATATTCCGATACCTCATGATCATGCTGCAGTAAATGAGACACCCTGCTTATAATCAGTTTTCAGCGCATGAAAATACATTGAAATACACTGAAAACGGCTTTCGTGCCAACTCGTAAATGTACACTTGGAATTAACAATCTATTTGCCTTGTTTTGAACCTGTTGTATATAATGTATACGACTATAAAACATTTTAGTCGGGGCATCTGTGCTGGTTTTATAGAGCACATAATGCTCTTGGCTGTAATCACTGTAATGAATACCTTCTCAGGTTATGACAAGTGTTAATGGTCTTGATATGAAGTCATGATGTGGACTTTTTGCAAGCTGCAAGTTCAGATGACACCAGTAAAGGCGTAAGTACATTTTTACAAGTATTAAAAAAAAACAAAAAAAAACATTATGAATGACACTGCTTTCATCCAGGATTGCCAAGTGTGTAAGAAAAACATGCAAACATGTCTTGTCTGCTCATCGGATATGTAACAACAGCAAGGCTGCAGCTGCACGCATCCCAGCTGGTATTAGGATTTTACTGTTTTCAAATTGCATTTTGTTTCTGGTGAAATGTTTTACATAATCACTTGTATCACTCTGCTTATTTACTTCACATCTGCTGGAGATAAACATGTAACCCTCAGTGTTGCTGGCAAAAATGCTGCATTCTGTGATGCAGGAGTTGCTTTGATTGACTCAAGTGACACAATTCATAAAACTGTAATCACACTATATATAAGCATGTATTAATGAAGCAATTAGAGTATGCCAAACAATTTTAATGTACAATCAGCTAGCATGCTTGCAAGCTTAAATGCTTTGTAAATCCAGACGGCAGGGAAAGCAACAAAACAACACTTACTGTTACTGGCTAGAGATAGAAAAACTATGGAAGTTTACTCTTATTTCGGCCGCCTTGACCACCCTTGTATATGCTGCTCAAGTTCACACAAATTGGGAATCTGATTTATCTCAGTTTACAGTAGAGATAAAAAGGCACATTCTGCAATATCTCCTATTGCATTACTGACTTGAGAAGAACAGTGTCACAGATGCGAAGCACCTGAAACCAATCTTCGAAAAACATCATTACATTACAGCGCTGCAGAAGCAGCAGGTTCACACTCACGGCTCTGGAACTAAAGTTCCAGCGCAACCTGCACTGCCAGTATACGCTGAACATGAGGTGTTGTGATGCTAATCTCACTCTATACAGGCAAGAAAAGGGATGGCTTCTTTAATCTGTCAGTGACACCACCTGCAGGCAATGAGGTTTTACAACTGCAGTTACCCTATTTCATGTGTAGGATATTTGTCTTTGGTGAGTCCTGATAGTCTGAAAGGAAAGGAAACTGTTGCAAAGATGGTATCTCTGTGTCTAATGCCTGATGTGTTTTTGGCTTTGAATACTTCAAGCATGAGCTTTGTTGTAAGCTAATATTTTAATCAATTAATTATTGCAACTATAAAAATCTGCAGGTGCCACAATTATTGCCTGCAGGTGGCGCAAATGTTGGGAACTTTTCTTTCCTGTAGACAGCGACGGACATCTGCAGAACCTAACTGGCAGCGCTGGTACTTTTCCTCCCTATGGTTGCTACAGACTGGGACCATCTATAGAAAAATACACAACTTCCCCTTGTGAAAATCTGCCATCTGCTAAACATGCTTAACATAAATAAGTGAGTTTGTGAGTGAAACAGCTCCATAAGGTGCTTTGCATCTTTAAAAAAAATGACACTTGAATCTATGCATCAATGGCTTCAACAAAAGTCAGCACTCAGTCATTCTGATCACAGTCCTTCGCAGTACTGACTAGATGGGTGAGTAGGAAATTGAGCCGACTGTGCCTTTAAATCTCTTGCAAGATGCAAAACATACAAATGCTTCAGCATACGCGTGCGTTACTTCTTCTCAATCTTCAGTGTTTGCACAAAACTCCAGAGATCTCTGACCACCTGAGGAAGGTGAGGGGAGAGAGGGATAACACCGGAATAAGAAAGAAAGAAATTATAAATCATCTAAATGAAGTGCTATACTGCCATGAGACACATGACTCACTTTTACTACAACATGCTTTTGTGCGTCTCGCCTGTGGGAACGCTGAGTTTAGATGGGGCTGTTGGGGAACGACGAGGGGTTGGGTGGGGGCAGCAGTACATACCAGAGTATATGACTAGGTGCTCCAGGTCTGACAGATCTCAGCCTTGGCTGATGAAACCAAAGCACTTCCACAGATGTTTCTACACACTGGGATCAACAAGCTCTCCCTGACCCAACTCCACCCCCACTCTTTCCCTTGTCCACCCAGCCCTTGCACTGCTCTAAAGAGCTTTCACCTGCTCTCATAGCTGTACAGTTAACATTTTAACACTTCAATGCAAATCCAAAATGAGGGTTCAAATAGCTTTTTAGTTTGAAATGATCACCATCTAACAGATGCTTTAATACAGAAACCACAGATTTACAGTTTGACACGTTGACCGGAATCATTTAGTCTGCAGTGGTCATCCAACGCGTTTCTGTGATTAATTCATGCTTTGCAAAACAAAGTGCAGGGGATGCTGTTTTTCTTCTAAAATGACAAGCGGCATTAGAAAAGATTTAAGTCCTGCATTTGGTCAAAGGCCTTGAATGTGAAAAAGACTGGTACCATCCACATACCGCCAGTCCCTTCATTAAAGCTACAAAAGACACACTCCAGTAAATCACTGAGAAAGAGTTTGCCTTGGCAGGTGTACTCCCATTCCATCTCGTAAGAGCTCGCCGACACAAAATGAATATAATTCAAGGAGAACACACTGTGCTGGAGATACATTTGAGGCATACTGGCAAGTGTGAGAAACAATAATGCACTCCTGGTTATCAATCATGGCAGAGCTCCTAAAGCTCAAATGAGGTTTGGTGTAAATATGCCCATGGCTAATAACATCTGCAAGTGGAGATTTCTAGATACTTGGGAGTAAACAACTCCCATTGGCTGAGTGTTTATGAAACTGAATGCACAGACTGCAAAACGGCAAGAAATCTGATGTGATGTCAGAGTTAAAGACCTGAAATAAGATCAATCTCAGATTCCTGGCAGTATTGACTGTCAAAACCAAGTGCAGCGACTACTTACTTTTTTGTCTGAGATTTTAAAAGAACTCTTCACGAAATTCTCAAACTTCTGCTCTGTCTTCGGTAGTCCTCTTCCCTGAAGAAAAAGACCATTAAATCATCATCTTAGCAGTCAGACACTCAATTAAGAGGGATCATTTGCAAAAGAGGATGACAGCCTTACCTCCTTGGCTGCCGTTGACAGCTTGTTCTTAATCTCAGTCAGAGACGGAGATTTAGAAGGGCCAGCCTGGGGTTTGTCTTTTCCTGGGGCAGGTGTCTTAAAAAAGACATCAGCTAGATAAGACACACTGTTTGATATGTCAAATACAGACAGATTTATAGAGCTGTAGATAAAAAACGACAGCTAAATTATGTCACAGTGTTTTCCCTTTTATTAGACTGTTGTTTTTTCCTGTGTTCCCATTCAAACGCAACAAAAAGTTGCTTCTAACATGCTGGTGGATTCATTTGCTGACCAATAAGCCAGTCTGGGCTGCAGCCCTATCGTGACCCATTTAGTCTGGGTCTGTGTTTACAGGCTTGGCGTGGGCAACCAGCTGGAAGAAGATAAAAGATTTAGAAAGGACAACAAATTCTAGCCTAATTACACCATCTTTTTTTTTTTTACAAATACATCAGGTACAAATTATGGTTTTATTGTTTGCTAGCAGGAGAGGAGTAGCCCTGACTCTCCAATGAGCAATACAGATTGTTTTTTGAACGTGTTTTTCCATTGATGGAAAATTCTAATGACTGAATTCAAGGGAAAAAAGGTCAAAGAGCATCTTTATTGCTTCTGGGCTGGTTTTTAAACAAGTTACTAACTTAATGACTTCGACCAGTAACATGACATGTTTTCTGTACACACGTACAAATGGTCGATGAAAACAGTACTGTCGCAAGCAGTGCTGCTTTATGCTTCTGGTGACATTAGAAGTGGTATTTTGAAAGGCAAAGACTCCTCCAGCTTGTAAGGATGAGAGCAGCATGAACTAGAAGGCCCATAGGTGTGTCCAGACCTGGGCAGCCGAGGGCCCAGAGCCCCCTTAATTAGAAAGTGTCTGACTGTGACACAACAACAACACACGCCATATGCTGTGACTGCATGTTACACAAGCCATGGAGCTTGTCCCTACATGCAAGGCCAGTGAGGAATCCAGTGAAATTGCAGGGTTTCATTGATAGCCAGAAACGCATTCGAAAGACGACAGAAAACACATGTGGAGCAGCACTTCACCGAGTCAAAAAACACAAAAACCTCAAGAGCAACTTGGCCACTAATTGTATTTCTGTTTGGTTGCTTATTGTTTCTGCTTTTTATACCTCTAGATTGACACAGACACCTTCAGGATTAGGGACTTCATTCCTACTGTGCACTTTTTTTATGGCTATTACTTAGATTTTAGCTGTTTTAACTCAAAATTCTGCTTCCTCACAACAGTTCTTGTCTGCTGGTCCCAACTGATTTCAGATAAGTTGAGTAAGATACGACAGCAAATATGCTGAGAGCAAAGTCTGTGATTAAAAAGTATAGAACTGAATAAAGAATACACACTCTGCTAAAGCGCTGCTCTGATCTGCCACACTGCAGACACAAAAAGCTGTGATTTCTCTCAGGGAGGTATCGCCACAATGCAGGCAACAGCACAACAGGTCAGACTCAAAGTGGACCAGTTCTAGGCACCGATTCAGTAGCAGACCTTGTTCTCTATACCCAACACTAGTACTAATGTTTTTTAAACAAAAGCAATGAAAACATGTCATGTGTTACAACTTGATTCCTCAAAACTACATCAGCAACCCTCAGGCTGTGAAAGAGAGGAATCATCAAAACAAGATAAATGTGGCCTCTTGTTAAAAAAGAAAGAGGAATGATCTGTCCCTGTCCCCAAGAGAGCTGCATTTTATAGCAGAGATCAAAAGGGATAAAATGAGCAAAACCTTGACACAAACATACCACACTACAAAAAAAAAAAAAAAACATATGCTGTTGGCTCCTGGCCAGACAAATGCACTACGTATTTATTATTTACGGGCAGCTCTCTACTTCCAAAAGGCCAGCTGTGGACCTGAAACAGCTGATAAACACACAAAGCCAGCAAGCTTTTTCATCTGGGCCAGACACTGATTACAGATGCCATGAGACATGGAACTTAATCACAAGCACGCTATCATTTGATGCAATCTCTCGTCTTCAATCCAGTGCAAACACATGGTTGTGACACCTTTGCTCATCAGGTCTGTCCAGGGATAGTAATTGTCATTTTGTTGGAATGAGAACCTCGGAGGCCAACGTCTGGGGAAAAATGCCAGAGCCCTGGGAACTGTGACCCTCATCTGGTGAATCCTACAGATGTACATACGAGTGCATGGGTTGGTCTTTTAGATATTTCTCTGGTCCAAATTGTAACGTCATAAGAAGCAAACATCTTTCCACTCGCAGGAGAAATAAATAAGCACTAACAAGATAGGCACCTGCTGTAACACATGTCAATCAGTCGCTAAAACAATGACTCACACCCTTTTGGGATAAGGCTGAGTGAAGTGGTTAACAACTTTACAACTGTGACGTGTGCTTGAAGGCATCAATTACTCCAAACCCATCAATCAAAGGACACCAGCTGCAAGATAAAGTTCCTTCAGATCAGCACAGCTCGAGTTAGCTGGTTCTCATGTCGAGCATTTTACACGAGAGCTGCATGCTGGGCTGTGAGAAGTGAGAACTGCGGCACTGGCAACAGATCTGACAAGCCAATCTAATGACCAGTCACCTGCATTTAGGAAAGAAAAAAACAGACATCCACGCCCGCTTCCTCGCTCCTCAGGGGCATCTGGAAGCGCAAGCTGCACCAGACATCAAACGCTGGTAATGAGAGCAATTGGGAGAGGGTGTGTCCAGGAAGTGAGGGGTGTGAAGAGGTTGTAGAGAGGGAACAGTTGTGAAGAAGTGGAGAGGGGATGGGAGCAGTCAAAGCACCAAAGGGCCAGAAAGTTAAACTGGCGGGATGGTTTCGTGGTTCATTTGCCCATTGGCTAATCCCCAAGAGCATTTCAAGAGCCACTGTGTTATGTCTGGACAACAGCCACCGCAGAATCTGCTGCACTCACCCACATAGCAAAAACGCTGCCCTTCGGGAGAATCACTCTCTCGCCTCAGGAGTTTAGCAATCCTGTGGCTTGGTGCTTAACGTGACAAAAATCACTAAGCCTTCTGTCAAGACGTCAGACAAGAAATGGCTGATTTTCTCATGCGCCCTGAGTGTGGAAGTGAGCACCAGAGGTTGCGCCCTCAGTGTAGGCAATATTTTATCACACAAGCAGCCAGCATGCCAACACATAGCGCCTTATCTGCACTGACTTTCTGTCCAAGTATTTACTTTCACAGTAACGTGCTGTGTGAAATGTGTAAACTTGCAGAAAAGCTTGCCAATTTGTTTTCCCTGATGTGTATGCAAGCCAAAGAGGGGTGAGGGGCATCAAAGGTGGCTGCAACTCAAGACAGCGGGGTCAAGCCCAGGGGTCACCGGTTTAAACCTTGCCCCAGGAAACCTGTTTAGAGGTCAGGTGTGTTTGCTTAAAGACAGACAGAGTTCAAGCTTTGGGTTTTGAGAGGCGGCCGTCCAAGACATTCCATCCAAGAAATTAACTATCAGGTTGAGCTAATTGCAACGTGCATTTATCACATTCCTTGGCTTTGGAATGGGAAGGTTCTCCAAGTTTAAAAAAAAAAAAAAAAAAAAACATAAATGAAAACTTTCTATATATATTTTTAAATTCTTAATGGCAAAAAATGCAAACAATCATCTTAGGTGAGACAACCTCTGTCTGTTCAGGCTCAGGTTTGAGTAAAACTAATGCAAACGTTTAAATTGTTTCTACAGGGTTTTCATGTACTTATTATTTCGTATGTGCACTACATTGCGTAACACGTATTGCTTGCAGGCCTCATCGGGTTTTCCCTTCAAACCTGCTGTAAGTCGTGGGAGGTCCATCTCTCTTTTTTTTTTTTTGCAAAGGAAAAGGAGGTTTGAAATATGTTGCTCACTGCGATATTCTGAAGAGAATTACTTTCTTTTCTGCACAAATCATGACACGCCAGATTAAATAACATGCTACTCGTTCATCAGACTTCCTTCTGAATGACACATCATATAGGTGTATGCATTTTTGTTTTAGTCTTCTTTAAAACTCTCAGACTTCTGAGAGTGACTTGTTGCTTTTCATTTGGAACAGAGCCGCTGGTTTTGTAACTGCAGACGTAATCTGGACTGCTACACAAATGTAGTTACATTATTTGCAGGCTAATTAGACTTAGATGGTTAATGAGGCGTGCTGTAACCATGATCTTTGGCCTTCTTACTTCAATGAATTCTTCTTAATGTATTCATTTTAAGGTCTAACACACTGTTATCTGTTTGTCTTAACAAACCCTCTTTAACATAGCTGACACATGTTCCACAGTATAATAGCAGTCAACCATGTATTCTAAATAACAAGCCAACCACATGTCAACAAAGATGTGCAGGCAATGCAGCCTTTTCATACCTTATTCTGTGGTTTGACTGCTGATCCTGAGGGTTTTCCTGCAGGGCCATTTTGTTTCCCTGGAGTCTTGTTGGGCTTCTTAAGTGAAGACTCTGGACTCTGAGGAAACAAACATCATCCCTCGTAAATAAATCAAAAACTATCACTGCATTGAAAGCTCTGAAAATGTCAACTAATTTGATTATAGACAGTTAATCACATGCTGATTGACCAATGCAAGCACTGCAGCTAAGGTGGGTCAGTTTAAATTATTGGTCAGTTTGTTCTTTTAAAATTATGTTTGGGCGTTTTTTTTCCTTTACTGCACAGCCAAGTGAAGAGGCAACCAGGAAACATGGAGCAAGAGAGCAGGATATGACATACAACACAAGTCCCCAGCTAGAACTGAACCAGGTACACTGCAATCATGCGCTGGAACCGTTTGGCTTGTGAGAAACTCCTCCTGTCAGATATTAACACAACTGCCTCTTTTGGGATTGTGGCTGTTATTATACGTTGTTTTGAAATCTCCCATATCAAAGCACTAATTGCCAAGCCTCTTTTATGGCTGGCAAATTATAATGGCATGTAACGTAATACGAACCACATTCTGTAATGTTTGCAATTTCTATTAATTTTCCTCAGAGTCTTTCCCAATTAGGTCTTCACATTATTTTCTCCCACGTCGGTAAGGCCATAATGATATCAATGCTGCACGTGCAGGCTATTTTTAAAAGTATTTAGACCCAAGTAAACAAAAAAAAAATTTATATTATACAATAAAAAAACAACAAGGATAGCAGCATAATGTCATTCTAGAAGCTGAAAGCGCAGTGGCAGCCTTAACAGTTTATTCTGATTCATCATGTCAGCAAAAACTCATATTGCAGATGACTTTTCTTAAGTATCAGTGCCATCTGAAATTGCAGAAGGAACTGTTGACATACTGAGTCATTCCTCACTGATCAGGCACTTGGAACAAGAGTAACCTTATATTGTTCTCGACACTGGAGGTTTTCCCGTCAGGTTTCCATTGCTATCAGTCACCTGTGTAATTACCTTGTAATAGCCAAGGCAAGTACCTGCATTTCCTGAGCACCAACCCTTCTCTTGCAATCACTGCTATTCACCTTGGAATGGACTGCAAGTGTAATTGCCTGTGTTGACACAACTACTACAAGGCAATTACACATGCAATTCCCTACAGCAATGCCTGCAATACAAGATGCTGGAAGGCTGTGACAGTGAAGTTTCAAAGCTTTTCTTTTCACAGATCAGCAAAAAAAAATCAAGTACAGAAACTCAGCTTCCCGAGTCTCCAGAATGCAATCTGTATTTTGAATAATGATTAGCTGAGATGTTTATTGTCTCTCCTTCTCTGTGCTTATTCCACCAGTCAATCACCATCAGGCGAAGAACACGACAAAGAGTTAGTTTTGTGTTTCACGCTGTTCTTACATGTGACAAGACACAAGTGCAGGAACTGTCTTGTATTTTCTAATGTACTTTTACGAAAGGTGTCTGACATTTGCATGAAGACGTTACAAAAGGGAAGATCAAAAGTAGAGAGATCCGCTGTAAAGGTCAGACACCTGTCTCCAGCACAGTGAAGATCTGCTTGTTTAACTCCTTGTCCGCGGTACACGATGACCACAATTCTGTTTCTATCTTGTTATCCCACTTGGTGTGTCTCGCTTGTTCCTTTTTCAAAATAGTTGGCAAGTCAGCTGCACGACTGCTTGCAGTTGTCATGAATAATGTACACAAAGAGAAGCAGTCTTAAGGGTTTTGTTGGAGCTGTCTGAGAAGTTCAGCACAAAAAACTTCTGGGAGTAAGAACTGATTCCTGATTTCCTGTTGTGTCCAAGCTTGTTGGAAAGACCAATTACATGTCTCGCTGCCAGGCTGCCCTGTTGCCAAATTTACGATAAATGTCTCACATGATGACGTCCGATTTACTTGTCATGGCAATGCTGTCAAACTGAACTCGAACATCTAAATACATGCCACATCTAGGCCACATTAGGGCCAAGATCTTTTTTTTTTGTAATCAGAACATTAACTCCGAAAGTGTGTTTGCTTTCACACTGAGCAGAAAACGTTCATCCAGCGTCACGTGACAAAAAAATAAACACAGACACACCTCTAGATAAGCATAACTGAGCTGGAAATTAAGTTAAGATTAGAAGTTTGAAATCCTGCCTGTGACAACGAATAGGAGGATTTAGGAAGCACCAGAAGACCCTTAATAAAGTTGTTTAACACAAGCACCTGTATTAGAACTTTAAAGTGTCCTAATTGGTCGTTCATCAAAACTAACTGATCAAAAAACAAGTAAATGATATTATTGTGAAGAAGCTGATAATCAGTGCACATTTTGGTATCTACTCAATACAGTACAGAGGTTTGACCACAAAAGGAAGGCAAATGTATCCTGAAATACAGCTGAATTACAAGTCCAAAAATAATTGCTCCCAGCCCTACTTTTTAAATCTTTGTGCTTTCATTGTTAAAGAATGAGACGGGGCAGCTATGAAGCTACAGAGAAGAAGGGTGAAGAAAAGGATTAAGGTCATGGAGGGAAGGGGGGCGTGGGGTTGCAGGAGGAATTGGAAAAGAAGACAACAGAATAAATCAACAGGTGACAGAAATGCTCAGCTGTCATCTGACCCTGAGGGAAGGATCGGTGCTCACGTCGCAGGTATGTGCATCTGCCCTGCTTTGATCTTTTGCCTGGCACAGTTAGCACTTGGATAGCGTGCTTTTAAAAAAAAAAAAAAAAAGAAGAAGAAGAAGAAAGAAATCACAAACAGACACCGACGTAAAAATGAGGCAGATACACACACATGCACCCACACACTTGCAAGCGATTGTGGTAACACGCAAAACAAGTGTTCAAAGGCAAAAGCCAGGTGCAAAGCTGAAATGGCATGAGAAACGATAAAAAGGAGCAATCATATTAACAGTGGGATGACAGAGGGACAAAGATATGCAGCGTTTCAGAAAAATGGTTGAAGATGTTTCCCATAACTGAAGTGTGTGTATGTGTGTGTGTGAAACTGTATTTAGTGTGTGTTTGTGATCTGTGAATTTGTACTGTTAATATGTACAGATTGTGCATGCGTATTTACAAGCCTAAATGTACATGTCTACGGTGCGTATATGTACCTTTAAGTGTGTGTGTGTGTGTGTGTGCATGTATAGCATAACATAGTGCGGTCTTGTTGGTGAGACGGTGAGAATTCAAGCAGATTACAGAGGAGAAATCCGATCATTACACTACACAGACCCTGTGTTTTACTCCTGGAAAACAGGTGGGTACATGAGCGAACAGGATGAAAAAGTTCCATGTTTTGTCTCATACAAAGAGGTGGACGGTCAGTGAGTGCAGGAATGGGTAGGGCCTGCTGAAATGAAATGCTACTACAGCGTATCGTCTGTGGAAGTTTAAATGATGTGGTAGAAACGAAAGGGGAGTGGGCATGCGGCTGAGAAATTCCTTCTGCACAGAAAAATAAGTGAGCGGAAGCCATTGGCTACCCTGACACCTGGTGGACAAGAAGGGATTGGAAACACCCTAAATAAATTAACTGATGGATATTTAGTTTGTTCTGGATATTGGTAGAAATAATGGAACAAAGAAAACAGCGAAAAAAAAAAAATTACAAAATAAACAAAACTTGGTGATACTGAAAGCAAAGAAGTAAAACCTGCAGGCAAGTTCAAAAAACACCATTTACACCTGCCAAGATGAGGCAAAAAAAAGGTAAAGACTTCTGCATTCAAAGCTTTGAGTTGCAAACTGTAGCTACAATAAACTACTTAACATCATGGCAGTCAGAGTTTGGTGGTCTTACATATGGTCAACAGTGGGCGATGTTTGCTTTGAGGAAATCCAAATGCACTGCTACACATGCAGTAAACTATATTAATGTATTATGATAGACGAATCACAGCAACTGGACTTCCTTGAGTTTCTCGAAGACGTTCCACCTGTCATCCAAGAGGCTTCTTCAGTTCTGACTGACTCGTTGGGAGTTCCAGATACCTATATCCTAAAGGAGCCATTAACACCTGAGTTTCCGTTTCAATTGGGGGTTTGTTGCTGCTCCCCCCCGTTATATGGGTTGTTCGTGCTCCCCCTGTCACGTAGAGGTTTGTTAGGATCTTTTGTGGCTACAGCCATGACCTGGATGACTGAGAATCTTCACAGATATATTAATGTAGGCTTTCTATATCTATATCCTTGCTCATTATTACACACTGTTCGGTTTGAAACAATCACACATGTGTTTATCAAACCCAAGCAGCCCTCTAGATTGGCTTTATTGTTTACAGTATCTTGCAGCTGCTATCAATAACTTTCAGATGCACCACCAACATCTACATGTTTGATATTATTTTTTGTAAATATCAAAAACCAGACCAGGCTTACTTTTTGGAGCACTTTGCCAAAATTCTTCGGAGGTTTGACGTCATTTTCATCACTGTCATCATCACTGCAAAAAAAAAAAAAAAAAACAGGAACAGAACTCCTGAGAATTTACTCAGTAATCGGACAGGGCGATCTCCACACATACGATATGTACAACAATATTCACTTTTCTATTTTAGGCAAAGTAAAATGTTATTTTTCACATTTTTTACATTTTCAATAAGAATTCAGCATAAATAAAATCATACTCATCATCATCCTCATCACTGTCTTCTTCATCGTCATCATCATCATCGGAATCCATCTTTAGTTTTTTCTGTAAGGAATGTTAGGTACCATTTTGTCAGAAACACTATTCCAGTTTCACAGTGGACATATTTTGGGTGTTTTACAGGGTTTTTCTTTCCATTAACTAAGAGTTGGAAGCAGCCATGTCACCAAAGTAGAAACCGAGATAAGTACCAACGGAGGCTTCTTCCCCGACAGCAGCGCTGCAGGCCGCTTCACTGGAGACGTATTGTTCTCCTCCTCTTCATCCTCTGAATCCTTCACACCTGCAAAGCAAACACGAGTTAGTGGCACAGCACAGAGATTATTTCTGTTTGCTTCACATTCACTTGGACAGCTCCGATATAGAATTTAAATCACACATAATTACTGTATTGTACTAATAACACAAAACACATGATTTCAAATGTATTATCTATGAATCAGTGAAATTCTTACAGCAGAAGATGTTTCAAAAGTCTGTGTTTATTAATCAACGCAGTAGTTCTAATGACGTGAAGAATTGGAGTACTTTTTATACTTTATGGGAACAGAAATGAGTAAACGAGGCCTCATTCTGTGAAGAAAGTGGAAGAAACAACTTGGTAATTTTCCCCAAAATGGTTCTCAGTTGGTAAGTGCTTAACTTTAATGATGAACTGTTATCTCTGTCAAGGCTAAAGACTTGATTTTCAAAGGAAGCTGTCTTTAATACTCACTGACAAAATGCTGCCCGCTGATGTGAACTGGTCCAGAGCCAGACTGGAGACGGAAGGTAACTGGCGGAGTAATCTCAAATCCACCTAAAGTCATCTGGACAATAGAAGAGTAGCAGTTACAATGACAATATCAGTAGTTTAATAACTATTAATATACTATTTGAATCTATTCCTACAATGTATTCTGAGAGAATGCTTTCTTTCCAGTTTTGGTGATTATCTTAAGCATTAAATGATCTGATAACAGTGTGAAGACTCACAGAGGGCAGGACGGAAGGTTTCAGGGCAACTAGTGGCACTTTGGTCGTTTTCCCATCATAAGTGAGGCCTTCAACTTCCACCATGTGGAACTTATCCTCCGCCTCGGCTCCTAGACAAACCTGGAAGAGCAGAACAGCTGACTACAACACACAACACTGCCTTCATGTCTTAGCATCATTCTGTTAATGCTACTTCTGCTACCATTTGTCTTTTATTTTCTAAGTGCACAAAATAGTCGGATACACCACAAGTTCAGGTTTTAACTGGTCAATCATTGCAATTTTTAAATAAGGTTCTTTTGCAAGATTACTGCCTCTGGTTAGTGTTTCTGAGATAACTGGTCATAACAATTAAATATTACAGTTCCAGGTCAGGTGATTCAAAAACAGGGATAAACAATTCATCCAAGTCGCAATGTGGACAAGAGCAATCTCCAAAATCAAAGGAGCTGCATTTCTTTTTGATGAAGGTAAAATCTGTCATAACATACCATTTTTAGTGAAGCATTGTGATGCTACAGAGATGACCAGGACTGGAAGATAAATTCTCCGATCGTACGGGGGAATGATTGGTTCGTACCGATCACTACAAGTACCACATCTTCATTTTTATGTTTTGTTTATTTTATGGTGGAAAATACATTTAGAAAGTAATGAGCAATATAACACAATATCTGTCAAAATAATTCCACTGTGATTTTTTTGGGAGGCTTATCATTCAGCTTTTATTCATAATTGCCTATCGAACATTCATTGGACAGGAAACTACTAGCTGTTTAAATCACTTTTCCAGCAAAGATATCAAAGTTTTTCAGGGTACAGCTGGTAAATTCTAAGACATACATTTGATCTCTGATCATTTGTGATTCCTCATGTCTTAAAGTCTTTAAAAAAAACTATGATTTTAAAATAACTATTAGCAGCAACGATTACAAGAAGTCCAATTAGGGCTGAACAATTAATCAGCTTAAAATTGAAATCAATAATAAATCACAACGGCTGCAGGTTAGTATATAGTGTACATTATTCAGTTCATCTAACTAAGGATTTATTTTACATTTTTATTACTTTATTTACCTTAATTTCAGAATGTGCAATACTTAGATGCTGCTCCTGAGACATGAATAACATGGATGAACTGTTTTAATATCACTGATTGTTAAGAGAAATATCCTATTTTTTTCCTTTTAGAGTTAGTAGTAGAAGTAGTATCACTTACAGTCATAGCGTTTGTGACAGTTGTCCTATCGCCTATGCTATTTTAAAAATGTGGACAGAAATTATATCTGAGTTATCATCCTTGCATTAAAGTGTGAAGTAGTTTTATTGTGTTTCATGTGGTAACCATCCATCACAGTTTTTAAATCTACTGCACAATAAATATTGAAAATTTAAAAATTAAAACGCAAATCGCAGGTGGATGCTTTCACCAAATAATGTCCAACGTAATGAACACCAAGCCAGCATGTCTCTATTTTTGACAGCTATTTTCTTTTCTAAATTGAGACAAAGACAGGAAGATGTCCAACATCAGCAGAGACAACACAAACGTTTGTCCAAACTGTGTCTCAGGTCTACATGAACGCATGAGGTCCCCGGGCAGCCAATGTTTGGAGCATATCAACAGTGTGCAGCATCATACATTCAACTTTTTCCATCTTTCACTTTTAAGCATCAGCACCTGCGTTACTGAGCTGCATCAACCATGTTTCAAGTTAATGTAAAGCGTGTTTCTTACTGCTTTGAGTGACAGCTGCTGTTCCGTATCATCGTCGTCTACGTCAACTTTGAACTCCCGTCTGTCCGATTTCAAGGTACAACCTGAGGGAAAACATTACGTGCGACGTGTCACCAACCTTATGTTTGCACTTATCTTGAGCAAACTAGCACAAATGCACAAAACTGTTGAAGACACTGGCGTATACTCTTGCTTTAGCACATGTATCTACATGTCCTGTCGACTAGCTAACAAAAGAGCTGAATTGGCGCGAGTGGGGGCAAGCAGGCTAGCCAGCTATTTCGCTAACTTCCCCCACCTAAAATTGTCCAGTGGCTACTTGTGCGTGAGAACATGGCGGTAAAACTGATTGTGCGACCAAATAATTTCAGGTTTGTCAGAATAAGCGAGCTCACCAAACAAGTACATTTGTGGTCTGCTCAAATCTGAGATATCGTCCTCCATCTTTGTAGTGGGTGGTTACACTTCCGTAAACTGCCGTGACGGACAAATCCGCGAACCAATGGGAAGGCAGTACGTCACCAACGTCGTCAGCATCTTAGCCAATAAGATTTGAAAAGTAGGCGGGACAAAGAAAAGTGAGTGTTCTGATGGATGAACACTAGATGGAGTTGTTGTAGTGTAGATTGGAAAGAGCTTTCTAGAAAACAATACATGCAACAAAAAACCCTCCATGATAATCACAGTTTATTAAAAGCTTGAAGTTTTGCTTCATACTTGATACATAGACCTGGGTAGAATTTATATAAACAAGAACACACAGAAGTATTGATAACTTCATGGCAAATCTTGAACTATGTAGGTTTTTTTTAATATTTTTACCCTCCAAAAATGCCCTGTCTTAAATTATTCATAGTGCTACTCAATAAGCATTCATTGCCACCAAAAAAACGTCGTTATAATTCCAAAAAGTTTTCTGCATGTCACCACTGGCATTCCGGACCACTCCTCTTTTGTGACATTCTCCAGGTCTTTGAGGTTGGAGGGCTTCCTCGCTATCACTCTGGCCATCAGCTCCTCTACAGATTCCTGATGGGATTCAGGTCTGGACTCTTCATTTCTTCCTCTTCTCTCATGATACTGTTTACTTTGACCAGGCCTCCCAGACTATCAGCTGATAAACACCACCAAAGCATCACACTCTCATCACCATACCCAACAGTGTGGATGGTGTTCATGGGGTTAAATACTTCTCTTTTACCAAAGCCACAGACATGTGTCCAAACACTTGTTTTTCTCCAATGAAATAACAACCAAAAGCTCAGTTTTATGTCCAAGCGAACTTTTGCAAGAACTAGACAAGCTTTTATGCGTCTGTCTTGGAGAAGCAGACTCCATGGTCAGCGTCCATGGACACCAGCCTCGTGCAGGGTCTGCTGGAGTGTCTTGCCTTTAGATGTGGGTACCAAGATTATTCAGATTGATGGTTTTGGTGTTGATCCTTGATTCTTCTCACTATACCATCATTACTTTGCACTACTTGGCACTGGCACTTGAAAATGTGGATTCAATGCACAACTCTATTTCAGTGAGGAACCCTAATATTAAGATCACTTAGCCCTTTGGCTGTAGCTATGACTTGCCCTAGACTGACAACAGAACTAATCGTTCAGCTATTTTCATTCTGTATATATTAAAATGTCCTGATGAGTGATAGAAATTAGCATTAGGAAAATAAAATAATAAAAATTCACTATAATCAGCATTTGGCATGAGTGTTAGCAGTTTTGGCTTAACTGTAAGTAGTACACAGACAAGGGATGGTAAAACATTTCATTGTCATTCCTTTCGTGTCAGCACTGTCTTTTGATGTTTTGACACTCTCACATACTTTTGATTTCTTCGCCCCGCTCTCAACATCAGCGTAGCATGCCTGCATCGTAATGGGAACGCACTGCAGAAAGGCAGGTTCTTACAATCACACAGGCTAGAACTGAACACTTCCGCTGCCTTTTTGTCACATGCCTAGCAGAAATCAACCTTTCATGTGAGTCTTTATCTCTATCATCTTCTGTCACCACAGCGCCACTTTAAAATGTGTATATTCTTTATCAAAATTCAAGGTATTTGCTTCTGTTTCCAAATGCATCAGAATAGTTTTACTATACTGGTTAACATATAATGCATTCTCTTTCCCTAATTGTTATTATTGTTATGGCCTTATCAGTAATTGCACATTACATACATAAGTATTTTTGTGCGTGTGTTAGTATGTGTGTGCTTGCTGCTGTCCCTGCATCCGCTGTTGTATGTAAACATGACAATGTGCGGCCGTAACATGCAAACATGTGCATATACAGCATGTGCAACTGTAGGAGAGAGCACAGGAGTGGTGGCAGTGTGTCACGTCAGCAGGCAGAGTTTGTTCTGAACGTTGTCAGACCGCAGAAAGAATTCTTCATTCTTCACTTGACTCAGCTGGAAGCGACTCGATGCCTCTGAATTTTCCAGCTCGAGCAGCTGACAGTTGCAGTCAAACCATGTATCCAATACGCGATGACTTACTAAAAAAAAACAGTGGCATCACCAGAAAAATACTTTTACAGCAATCGCCTATAAAATCAGCCTTTTAACCTATTTCATAAAACACACATTTCTATGACACCTCATGTTGGTTCACGTAAAACTCAAAGTGACACAGATTTGTGGACAAACTTTGATTTTGGAATGCCAGACACAAACACTGATTTATCTTTAACCCGGGCTTAATATAACTACAATTTCAGTACATGACCACATTTTTTAATTGCTCCAAGTTTCCTAGATCTACAAACCAGCAAAACTACCAGCATGTGATACAGCTAACCAGCATTTAAAATGATTTTCCAGATTCAGTGTTTCCTAGTTGTGTGTGTATTTTTAATCATGGATGAGACTTTTTTATTTGTTGGATTTGTGTGTGAATGAAACAAAAAGGCTTTCAGTCTTCTGCAAGGAGAGATTAAATTGATACTTTCTATGCGGATCAGTCTGTCTTTTTTTGTTTTTTTATGTTTGTTTTTGGTCACTTGTAAAGAATCCCAGCAAAAACATACAAGCTAGGAGATGCATCATCAGAATAATGTTGGTTAATTAAATAATTTTTACACACTCTCTCTGGCACTGAGTCCCTTATTTAAAAAAAACAAAAACTAAACATATATGTTAAACAGATTTTTGGCAAAGTCTGACCACATTTCAGCAGCAACACTGGTCCATAAACTTTCATCTAAGTTGAGTTTCACCTCATTTACTGCTTGACATGTTTACATCAATCCCAAAATATAACATAAAACAAAAATAAAACTTCACTGTGACGAAGACAGAGTCTGTAACGGGCCTGATTCATAAGAGTCACCAATAATTCCTGTAATCCAGGCTTTGACAAAAACAGGGGTTGATGTTTAACTCGTTGCTCGGGGCTGTTTGTAGAAGTCTTTCTTCTTCGTCCATTAAATACTTGCAGCATCAGACAGCAGCCGAATCCATTTGAGTGTCTGTAGTCAGAGAAGTTACCACGAAGCTAAACATGGACAGAATTTTTAACAACACAGACAGCAGATTCGGTCGGATTATTATTAGTTATGTATGCTGGGTATGGTGTGACTTTATGGGGTAACTTTTCCCCTTCATCTGCATTTCTGCTCCTGTACTATTTAAAGGGTTGGTCATTCAAGCTACTATTAAATACAATTTTTATTATTTAAAAATTAGATTATTTAAAGTATACATGAATCTTATTTGAAGCTGGTAGCAAAAACTGGCATCCCTGGTTTTGCTTAGTGGTTCGCAAATGTTTTTTCACAGAACATTTATGAAAACAAGCTCTTCCATAGTACACCTTTACATAAAATTATACATCTTTGAAGTAACATAAATAAGACTAATTCCAAGGCACACACTTTGAGAACCATTTTTCTTGCTTCTGATATTAATATGAAACATACGTTAAGCACAGAAAGAAAAAAGGATGGCCTTCCTTTGTCAGCATCTCACATTCTATATTAAGTCTACTTTGAAATCACTGGAAAATTGTGTAATTATCAGGTTAAAATGTAAACATTCCTGACCTGGTCTCAGGCTTCAGTGTTTCAAAATCCCAACGACTCCTCTGGGAAGTGAACAGGCTTCTAAAATAAATAGCTCTCGGAAAATTCGGTTGTTTGTGGTTCAAACTTTCCTTCAGAGTTTAAGCCTGTTCCGAGATTAAATGCGTTTAATTTCATTTATGTGTATCCTCCAGCGGAGCCAAACTTGTTTGCAGTTTTCATTTGTGCCCACTTTCCGTTTCGCCCACATGTTTAAACCGGTTTGTGGGTATGTATTGCAGGAATCCTTCATACTTGACCAAACATCAGAGACAAACTGTGCCGGTGGTTACAGGGCTATTTTTGTGAACATATATATTTAGTACTAACAAGTTAAAAGTTTTATTAGTCACCAGAAGAACCCGTCTTCTATATACAGCCACAATTTGGCAAGTAACTCAAAGTAACGGAGCGTAGCCGTGTTTAAAAGTCAAGAACCATTGAAGCCTTTTGTCAACAAAGCCCACTTTTCAACACATTAGCCGTGACCTTACGGAGCTGACAGGTTGACTTTCCTCTGAAATCTAGGAGCTGTCTTGGCCTGAAAATGGATGTTTCAACTGTAGACTGATAATATTACATCTAGTCCTAAAACAAAACAAACAAAAAGAAAGATTTGATCTCTATTTTTGTATTAGTCATGTGATGTGAATGTATATTTGAACATTTGTGCTGCGGTAGAGAATTCCTCTGATCAGTTTGGTCATGAAGCCACACTAAAAATATACATGCTCGTAAGCTCAGCTATGTAACGAATACGCCATTAACACATATGCAGTAAAATGCAAAATTATTCATCATGTGGACTTTTTTGTGCCAAGCATGCATGAACACAGGCTGTTTTCTTATTTATACAAATGATTCTTTATACAGATGGTGCAGTGCAACACTCATTCATCCCTTAATGATCTGAATAAATGTAAAAAGTTCCATGATATGAAGTTCATAGTTAATGCTGAAGTTTATCTGATGTTAGCTCGACAAAATCTGTTGCAAAGGAGCCGTTTAATTCCAAAATAAATAGTGCATGTGTTTTCTCAGAATGCAGACTTCCAATGTTTCTAAACCTGCTGAAGCATCAACAGCTGCCTGATAGTGACATAAATGTTGACTGCATTTCTCAACAGTGGAAACAACTGATAGGAGCAGACAGAGCGTGACACAGAGCACAGCACGGTGTATGTGGAGGAGAGCTTTTTTTTTTTTTTTTGGTGGCCCTGTTCAAAACAAAGCTCTTGATAGGAAGTCTGATATACTCTGAGCCTTTTGCGCTTGTTCATCTTGTGTGGTGACATTTTATTGGATAAGGACAGGGCTCTTTGGTAGTGAGACAAAAAAAAGAAAAAAAACTACACAACCATGACAGGAGAGGAGAAAAAAAAAATCTTTAAGCACCTGCAGTAA